TGATTTTTAAAAAAGACCGAAAGTAGATTTCTAAGCGCTAAATCCAGACTCTGGGAATCTAGAACCCCGCCCTCTCGCACGTCCCTGTCCGGGACTCAGCCGCCATCCTGAGCGTGGCCAGCAGGTGGCGCCACTTCCACAGACCTCAGCGGCTGGGGAGGGAGGTCTCCCCTTTGACTCTGGGTCCAGCCGGGTGCTGAGGTGGAGGAGGAAACAGGAGTCACAGTCCAGCACTGGGAATACGGAGGCCTGAGTTCTAGCCCGTTCTTGCCCTTCCACGCTGTGTGTCCTGGAGCCAGCGTCTCCTTGTCTTTGTTCCTGTTTCCCGACTGACCAGGAGGAAAGAGTCGTTCTTGGAGACATCTCCGCGCCCAGAGAGTCTCGGTGGCTGAGCCTCCAGCTCCAGTGCAAGTGCGTCGCAACCAAGAGGCCCCCCAGACAAGTCCATTGTCCCGAGGCTAAGGGGGGACGAGGGAAGAGGTCGCGTGCTCAGGCCCCGAGATGAGAGCAGTGGGGGGTGCTGAGAAGGGGACGTCCAGCGCGTGGGTCCCTTCCAGACAGGTGGAGCCCAGTGAAGGAGGACCCCGTCCGGGGGGAGCCTCTGGGACCCCAATCCTACCGTCGTCCCTCCCGCCTTTTCTCTGGGTTAACCCCTTCCCGGCCCCGCCCCCGACGCGGCTCGGGTTACTAAACGCATTCGCAGAGACCGAGGCGGGAGCGGAGCCCGGGGCCTTTGTAACGGAGCGCTGGGCCGCCGGGCGGGGTGTGGGGGTGCTGGGCAGACTGCTTCCTTCGATCTCGTCACCCGCAGACAGGAAGGATGGCTATAACCCCCAAATCTCTAGGAAATCCTTGATCTGTCGGCGCGAAATCACTGGTACCTCATTCAATCCTGGAGTCCTCTAATTCCAGGAAACTAGAGCATCCCCAACCCTCGAGAGACCTGAGGACGCCCCCACCAAACACACAATTCTCCACCACCCCCTCCGCCATCAACCCGAGTCCACGTGTCCCTAACCTATTAGAAAAAGCCCAAAGGTCGCTTTCAATTAATCCAGCGCCCCCAAACCCTAGAAAACCAGGAAATGTCAACTCTCACATAAAGTCCCTTCAGAACCTCCCAATACCCTTCCTCCCTAAGCACCCAAGAAACTCGGAGAACCCATCCTAGCTCGAGGGCCCCACCCATCTATCATTCTAGGAGAGCTCAAATCCCCCTCCCCCGCCCCATACACTGGCGATCTTTCCCCGAATAAACCCCGGGATTCCCTACAGCCTTATCTGTCCCCACCACACCGAGAGAACTCCCTCCCCTCAAAATCTCAGCACTCCCCGGGTTTTAACCCCTGTAAACTAGGGACCCCTAATAAACCCAAGAGCCCTGACCCTTTCATCCCCACACCGAAGCAGTGAGTCCGTATTTCCCTAAATCCGAAAGTCCTGGTCCTCCCGGACCACCAGACTTACTGAGTGGAAGGGGCACGGGGAAGGAGGGGTGCGGCGGGGCTTACCCAGCCGGTCGGCCCGGGACCCCCGCGACCTCGACGGCCTGGATGGGCCTGGGGCTGGGACTGGCAGCCGAGGTGGCGCTGTCGGCCGCTGCGAG